TGCTTCCAGCTTTCTTTCCTCTTCTTCCTCTTCTTCCTCCTCTTCCTCTTTCGCTCAACCTTTTTCTTTTGTCGTTCCTCAATCCTTTGTTTCTTTGCGTTCTCTTTATCAATTTTCTCCCGTTCACTTTCATGTATATTTCCGGCCATTCCTCGCTGGTGGCTACTGTTGGGAATGCTCTCTTGCCCATTTCTGTCTGCTCTCTGTAATCTGTACATGCGTGTTGGTGTAGGGGAGCTGCGCTGTTTTCCTTTTGGGCTGGTTCTTGACGCTCTTCATTAAAAGATATTAATAATATAACATTTACAATAGGAATAAAATAAGAGAGTAGCGATTCAATACGGCATCTCTTATGGTGGTGAATGGAACGGCAAAATCCCTGGATGCTTCTCGGTAAGATTTCTCCGCACGCATCATTGCCACAGTCTTCTCCAAATCCTCCGGCGTGTATTTAGCTTCCATGATCTACTGAAAAACATTGAAAACATTGGATAAAGTGGAGTCGTCATTGTTAATCCACAAGTGTACGGATTTAGAATCAGCTGTTATATATGGATATATATATATAAATACCATATGAATGATCCATTGCTTAGAATTGAGATATAAAACGATAAACACTTACGTTTCCGATCGACCTTCAGGAAACTACTTGCAAAAATCACTTAAATACGCTTAACAACTGGAAGTGAATCCGAGTGATTTTCTTAGAAAATCGTTAAGAACGCAACCGATTGATAGAAATGCACGACACATGAAAAGGTTTTTATTTTTCTTATTTTAATTGCATGACATACTGCTTAATTGTTGACGTAAACATCAAGCTAATGCATGAATGAACATGAATATGTATTCATGTATAATATTTACATTGTTATGATGCATATAAATAAACAAATTCAACAGGGTGTACGGATTTCGGTGCTGTATGGATTTCGGTCCCGCACGGTATCAATACTAGCGTCCAATTGGTCGAAAGTGATAAATTTATAGAGAAAATCAGGAGATGCTAGCGGTACGTAACGGAGACGTTTCCACTTAACTTTACACAAGTTTCTGATCGAACTTGGACGTCTGTTCATTTGTGAAAAAGTTATTTTTCAGGCATAACATTTGATAACGGCACAAAAGCATTTGTAAACAAACTTTCTAAGACCCTTTACACGCGAACCAAAGTACGCTCACGCAAACCAATAACATCATCGGATAGGGCCAACCATCACCTTTCCGAAAGTGGTATTGGTTTGCGTGGGCGTACTTTGGTTCGCGTGTAAAGGGCCTTAGAAAGTTTGTTTACAAATGCTTTTGTGCCGTTATCAAATGTTATGCCTGAATTTATAAGGTTCTGAAATAGTTTTTATGAAGAAAACTTGTAGACTGAATTGTATTTATCTAAAATCATTTTGCTTGATCCTAACTCGTTCAGATTTATGGCAGCATTTATGGCGGCAATGTTGCCTACAAAATGTTAAACGTCAAAGTTTGTTTATCTTTCGATAGTTGCGCTGTGCGATCCAGCGTTCTTCCAGGCGATTCTCTCCCGATGGTTTGGAAGCAGTTACTCAGGGAGTGTGCGATACTGTTACTGATTCCCGAAAAGATCGGCAAACATACTTTTGAACATAAAAACCAATAAATGATCCATAAAATATTGGAAAACGTTCCATAAAAAATATCCAAATGATCCATAAAACTTCGGAGAAAATCCTTAAAAAAGTGTAAATGATCGATAAAAAATATCAATATGATCCATATTTAATGTAAAATTTAGCAACACAATTGTAAAAATGTACCGCTAAATTTCTAAGGAATGAGCATTGAAATTGTACGAATTACCCATAAACATATTGCAATTGATCCATAATACATTCAGCAGTGAACCTTAAACTAAAGAAAGTGACCCATAAGAAAATCATGTTTGCGCACTTAAAAATGTAGCCATGTTCGTATTAATGAAAGCAACTTCCTCAGAGCAGTCTCGTTTTGGACAGCTTGAAGCTGAAATAGGTTTTATTAAACTAATATAAAATCAAAACCAATCTTAATGCTTATAATAAAACCTTTTTCAGCTTCAAGCTGTCCAAAACGAGACTGCTCTGAGGAAGTTGCTTTCATTAATCCGAACATTCTTGAAGAGCAACATCGGATATAACCTCAAAATGTCAGAGGGATCAACACCACCGTTTGAGTGAAGAACAGAACAGCGATAGAAACTGTACGCTTTGTGAAGGCCATGACCACGTAGATGATATGGTCCAATGTGATGTCTGCGATTTCTGGACCCATTATAGTTGTGCTGGTAAGACAACAGCTGTAAAGGAGGTTCCGTAGACGTGCTCTAAGTGCACACATATGCTGGAGGTGGCAAAAGGAACCAAGAAGTCTGTCCCAAAGAAACCACCTAGCAGAAATAATAGAGCGAGGAGTGATACCGCAAACGAATCTGGAAAAGGAAGTACCAATGAGGTCAGCCTGGAAGAATCCCTAGACCAGTTACTGCAGGAGAAAAGCGCAAATAAGAAACCGTTGGAGGAAGAGAAATTCCTCCATGAAAAGCGATAGGAGGCTGAGCGGGAGATTTTCAAACCGAGAGTTATCTTCCGTCACTCTTCCAACAAAGATTTGGCTAGATTTAGCATTTAGGGATTCAATTATTATTTCACTTAAGCACGGAAACGATGTAGAATGAGCTACTTACTAGTTACTTAGGGTAAATCATGTATATAGCGTTTAGGAACAAATTGTAGGTTACCAGATTTTAGGATCAAATTGTATTATCTAGATTAAGCAAATATAGGGTTATTAAATTCAATATTTACACGAATTCCACCTCCAACGGTTAGTAGCTACATAGAGGTAACTTTAAGACCAGAAGGTCCCCAAGAAATGTGCTCAACTTTTTGGCTAAGCTCTGGTACTATCTTCGGTCCCAAGCTTATCGATGCACCCCTATAAAACACGAGAAAATCCACGAACCCCTCATTTTACCTGTCAAACTTCCATAGCGAATCAAAACAAACATTGTGTAGTACTAGAATTTTGACTAGAATGGGGTACGTTAATCGATTTGCTTGGGACCAATAGGCAAGTCAAGTTGTGAACCAATATAAAATCGTTAGTTTCGTATTGATTGTTGGTAGCTAGTTCACTACAAATAACTACAATTTAATTAAATGATAGGTATAATATTATTATCCTTCGAGATATCATTGTCATAAATTTGGTTTTTATTCAGTTTGAGGATCCATCCTTAAAGTTAAATTTGTAAACATAAGAGATTTTATGATACACTTTTAAAAGCCTTAACAATATATGCTTTTGCTCTCATTTAAAACCTAATGGTTTTATTGTTGCTTTTATAATGATAGGACACGTTTATAGAGTATTTTATCAATACTTTAATAAAAAAACCGCTACTGAAGTTTATGATTGATTTATAGAACAGTTGTATCAAAGATGAATACTAAGATGAAACTGTCGGAAGAAAAACTTTTCATTTCAGAGTCCTTTTTCACGGTCCCTTTCATCCAATGAATATTCAAATACTGAAATAAACACGAGTGTTCACCGGTTGGTTTTATGGTGGGATTGAGAGCTATTTTAAATTTAATTTTAAAACAAGGCAGTTGCTGACTTCTCGCCAGAATGTAAAAGGTTTTTAAAACAGCGAAATGGTAAACTACTAAGCAGGAACGTTTTACACTGTGAAATGCTGTATTCAAACTAAATGGATTGTTCATTGCCATTATAAAACCATCATAAATCAGAGTGGATGCCAAATGATTGCAGAATTGTTACTTGGGTTGACTAGCCAAAACGTCCTATGTGTTTTTTTTTTCTATATTGTAGCATGAAATAAAAAGTAAAATTGTGATTTTACCATTTCTGCTGAATTTCCAGCGTCATTTTTCACTGACTACATTAAAAATAGTATTGCAAAATTTATTGTTTCTATAAAAGTTAAAATAATAATCTGTCGAACTTCAACTTCGATTTTCTCAAAATGGTGGATATGTTACATTGGTCTATTTGAAAAGTGAAGCGAGATTTGTATTTATAATCATCTTCGTTCTTGTTTTTCTACTTCCAACAGTGCGTTTAAGTTTCAAATTGAAACAGTCCATGTGAAATACAACAGCATTGCGAACGGCCTTAGGGGTTCAACTCTTTTTCACCTTTTTGCCCACCTCAAATACTCACCATACAAAATAATCTGTAACAAACTCCATCAAAATACATAATTTGTCATTTCATAAAAAGAAAGTCATTAGATAACTGTTCAAAAGACAGTTTTAACGTGTGAAATGCAATGTCTCTTAAATTCTCTAAAAGTAGTTGCACGTTTAATGAGTATAGGCATCGAACTGAAAAGATTTATTCCTTTAAACAATGAATTTTGTAGAGCACTGGTCAAGAAATGTGGTGTTCTTACTTCATCTGCGTTTCTAGTATTATATCTATGCAAATCACTTCCCCTTCGATCACACAAATATCGAGCCAGCATACCGATTTCCATACCATTAGTTTGTAATTTTTTTTTAACGTAGATTTTTTTTTCAAAATTCACATTATTAACTGCTCAATTTTCCCCCGGATTACGGTACGTACATTATTTTCATTCTGAACCATCCCGCCGCTCGGGACGCAAAACAAACCATTTTCTCTCTTTGCGAAATATGTGCAAAGCAACCGTCTCAGCAGCCTGAGAGAGGGAGAAATCAACCAACGAGCACGTTGTCATACAATTCCGGCAAGAGCGCAAGCTTCCTTCATCCAAGTGGGTGCAACTGGGAAAAGAGACGGCATGCAAACAAACCCCCGCCCCCGCTAGTGTAGCTGGGATGGTTGGGATACCGTCGAGCTTTGCAACCATGCCAACAGTTGATGATAGTGCTATTATTTCACCACTGCACCGGGGTCCGCGTGCCTCTGAGAAGTGTGAACTAATCGACCGAACTGACTGGCGGACGACTTGTTGAAGCCGCTTGGGGTAGCCTTCATTCAGTGCTGGTCATTCTGTCAACGCGCGCGGCTGGATCGACGATTGAGACGGTTGACAGCTGTTGGCTATCGGAGAAGAACCTCGAACGGAAAGTTCTTACCGGACGGAATCCCGGCTTGATCAAATACCATTTGGCGACGTCAGGGCAGCTCAGTCTTCGGTTGGACGTGATCGCGAACGGTGTTGCTTCAAGAACATCAAGTCCCAAGGGAAGGTACTAAGCTGAATAACTTACCACTGCTGTTCCACTGCAACTGTCCGAGGGCAAAGAAGGAAGAGAAAAGTGCATTGTAAATGAGGTGAAAATTGCGGTGGTCAGTTCAGTTGATGATTGGTATGTGTTGCGAAAAAAAAAAAACGCAAGGCCCATGGATCGCCGCCTTTAAGTTCGCGAGTGGGTGGGAATAAAAAAAAAAAAGTAGTGCAGCGAGGCAAAGTGAAAGTGAAAAATGTGTTCGATTGGCGGATGATGGTTCGCACGAAACAGACACCCTCGGCGGCGGCGGCGGCGGCTTGTGTGTGATTGTGGGGTCCGTCCGATGTGGGATCGTGACAATGCCGGCTAATTGGACTTTTATTGATTTCGGTGTACTTTTAATGGAGACTTTGCAATCGACCGCTCACTCGTTCGCTGTTTGAAAGTGATTCATTTTTTTCTTGTTCTCGTTGAATTGTGATTATGGATCACATGCGGAATCGGCGTGATTGGGGATTTTTCTTTGTGGGGTTACGGTGAGCCATTAACCGACGGGCAATTGGCATTTTGGAAGGGGTTCTACGGTTCCTCAATTAAATTTAATTTATGCTGAACCGATGCATCGAAGCATTATCATTTTTTTCATGTTAAGTGATGTATTTTTTTGATGATCCTGCAACGCTTGGTGAATCAATTCCTTTCATGTTTCAATTTTTGGGAAGTTTGTTTCTAAGGTATTTATTAGATTTTTTGACTGGTACGTACGACTGGTATTCTTTTATATGGCTTTCTCAGTCTAGGGTAATCCAAACAGTTAGTTTTGCATTTCCCAACGTTTTGGCCGTTTATTGTGGCCTTTTTCAACGGTAAAACAGTGTACTGTTTGTCGTCAAATTTTGTTTGTTAGTTACAAATATTTTAAAAAAATGTCCTATCGCTATAAACCAAAGAAGTAAATACAATTTTGAAACAAAACAAACAAATTAAAGTTTTGATTATTAAATATTTTCGAAACATGCACTTCGATTAATCAAATCCAACATTAGGTTTTCTTTGGCTGCCGTTTTTGGCGCTATTCCACAGTTTTTGTAAGTGACTTATTTAGGAATATTGTTGGTTTTAGCGAAGCAATTTTTGCAGAACATAATTTTTCGCTAGAAAATTTATAAATAATATTGGTTGTGCCCTTGATATTTCATGACAGATTTTAAGGGGGGGAAGCCATACTTTTTAATAAATATTTCTAACAATGAGGGATCAAACATTCGTCCAAGATCAATTGTCTTTTAAACAGACGGCTCTAGATGGGATAATCGAGTAGGAGCAGGGGTAGCAGGTTTAGGAATAAATATTTCAATATCCATGGGCTGCTGGCCTACCGTGTTCCAAGAAGAAGTCCAAGCAATTCTTGAATGTTCTTAAATTTGCTTGCGTAGAAATGATAGACATTCGAATATCTGCAGCTAGACTTGGATCATCTCAACAATTTATAGGACCAGAACCATTCTGTGGAGTTTCTACTTGCTCTCGTAGAATGTAGGTCAAGAAATGGAAAAAATGAAAGAAGAGACCAATTGGAATAACACTCTCATTGCTAGGCAGTCGAAACGGTTTATTGTTCGTTTTGTTAGCTATCTAGATCTGAGACGCAATATACTTTCGCCCAGACCCTCGCCCTGATAAGCCAAACCCCTAAACACTGTTGTATCCTGTCATGATTGTTTCGCTATCTTCGTTTACAAATATGAACCGGATAGTGATAATATCGAAACTTTTTGCTGCATTAGAGAGAAACAGGCAATAGATGCCATTGTTTTAAGCGAGAATAAGAATCCCCAATAGATATCTCTAGAACAACTTGAAACGTGACGGTAATTAGCTGCAGTCAGATATTTAAAGTACGACAAAGGTCATAGAGATCATGCAATTTTCCAGATGTTCATTGAACAGCCCTGAGGATCCCGGAATTTTCCTGAAGATCTTGGAACTACTCTGAAGTTCACGTAATGTTCGGGCGATACACCCGGAATGCCGATACGAAGGCTTTCTTAATGGCACTACTGGCCTCTGAGCCCAGAAAGTTTTCCACACTGGCACGAAAAATCTTAGCAACCCGTCTGTAACCCGACAAGCAAGAGGGGGAATTTCGTACCGCGTACAGAATGTGTTTTTCTGTCTGACACGTTTATTGTGGTCGAGATGTTGATCGTAACTGATCCATCTCCTACATACGATCTACTTTTCCCTATATCACAAATTGTGTACATTCTTTGTGATCGGTTATCGTTGGTTTCGAACTATGTCGTATTATCGCTCTTCGCTGCTTATCTCTTGTGTACTTTCAGTATAGGGGAAATGGCTCTAATATTGACCTATGGATCTAAGATTGGGCCCATAGATGATGATTAACGCGTCATTGGGATGGTACTAAGGGATATTTTTGGTCGCTATTGAAAATTTAGTCGATTTCATTATATCCATATCCCCTATAAGGAAATAAGATTTGTTTCAATTTAGGGTTCACTGCTCATAGTGGCAATAGTAGCAGTGAATTCCTTTGCATGGTAATAGGTATAATTGTTTAGTTGGTGTAGGTATCAACGAATTCATATAGTAATTTAGTTTATCAAAATAATACAACTGCATTAGCTGTAATACGTAGCTTCCCTAAACATCTCTAAACTTTCGTGAATTTGTCTGGACTTCCTCGAAGTTATCTGGACTTCCATAAAATTCTCTGGAGTTCCCTGAAGATCTTGTACATCTCTGAAATCTTCAGAAGTCCTTCCCACATTTTCCCTGAATTAAATGGAACTGCCTTTCAGTTCTTTCAAAGTTTTCAAAACTACCCTGATGCTCATGGAATTTCCTGACAATCTTTATACTTCCCTGAACTTCTCTAAACTTCTACAGAAACTTAGTAGTTTTAAAAATTTCTCAGAAGTTCTCCAAACATCTTAAAAATTTATATTATTTCCCTGAAGTTAATAAACCTGCTCCTGAGGTTCTCTGCTTCTCCTTAAATTTCTCATAATTCTCCTACAGCTCTTGGTACTACTCTGAACTCAATAGAACTTTCCTAAGAATTACATGGAACTGGAATGATCCTCACTTCGGAAACATCTATGAATCTCCTGAAGTTTTCCTAAAATTCTCTGGACTCCTGTGAAGTTCTCGACGTTTTCCTGGAGGTCTTTGTACTTCACTGACATTTTCGGAACTTTTGTTGGATTCCCACAATTTCCCTGGTAAAATAGTTAATGCAGTTCTTAGATTTTCAATGGAATTCTTACATTTTCCAGTAGTTCTTGGAACTGCCCGTAAATTATTTAAACTATTTATTCAACATATTAATTCTTCCCCCAAAAGTACAGTCTTTCCTGTTGTTATTGTAACTGCTAGAACATGCTTAAAGTTCTATGCATTGCCTCAAATTTTTCAGTTCTAATAATTATTAATTCTATAACTATTCCTTTCAGGAAGTTTTCGGTGCCTCACTCAAATTTCCTGAATCTTCAAATGTATCGGAAATTTTTTCTGATATTAATTAAGCTTCCCTGAAGAGCCCGCAGTGTCCTAAAAGTTATCGGAACATTCCTGAAATTTTCTAAATATCCCATAATTCTTCGGAACTCCTTGAAAGAGCTTTCCGTTTTCGTGAAGTAAATTGAAATAGTCTGGAGTTTTCTGATCATCCTTGTGGTAACGTTTACATAAAAAAATGGACTTTTTTTTCGGATGGTGATAAAAAAGCTAAGACAGATAATTTCTTTTGATAAATTTCCCATGGAAGGTAATTATTTAAGCTTACTTGCAAAAAAATTCTACGCCCTCGCGAGCGGCCTTCCGGCAGTTAACCGGAACATTCGCCATGGCGGACGAAAACATGCGTGTAGGCATATTTTTGAGTTCTTTCTTCGTTTTATTTATCAATTTCTCCTCAATTGTTATCAAAATCTCCAAAGGGCCTGTTCATAAACTACGTTGACCCCCCTCCCCCTGCGAAGACAATTGTCCATACAAAAAAATTAAAATTTGTATGGACCGTGGATAATTGTCAACCCCCCCCCCCCCCCTAAACTGTCTACGTAGTTTATGGACAGCCCCAAAATTGTTGGAGTAGATCTAACGCTTCAGATTGGCCCAGAAATTCTCTATGGGATGCAGCTGGGGGACGTTGAGCGGGTTCGATATTCAGCCGCTCCATCTCCTCCAACGATCGCTTCGAGTAGTAGGCCGACGCCAGATCCGGCCAGAACACCGCGTCTTCGCCCTTATGGTATTTCTTGATGAACGACGCAACTTCCGGCAGGCATTTCGTACTATAAATTTCCCCGTTCACGGCCAGTCTGGAGCGAAAGAAGAGCGGCTTTGACATCCCCTGCTCGCTGATTGTCAGTCACAGCAGCACCTTCTTGGGGAACTTGGTGTGTGAAATGAACTTCACCTCGGAGCTCACTTCCTTCGTGGGGGAAGTAAAATACGAAGTGCCCTGCCATACAGGGTGAGATAGGTCTCGTTGTCCATCATCACCGGCACGTCGCAATTCGCCGGGAAAAACGAGTTGACCATCTTATTCAGCCGCTGCCGCTGCGTCATTGCGTGCAGCTCCGAAACCTGTGGACGTGACTTCCGCTTCCTTACATGTATGTTCATGTTCGCCAGGTACTTTTTCACTGTTGGGCCGGTTGCCCCGATCTCTCGGCCACTTTTCCCTCGGTCTTCCTCTTCAACATCCTTTGGAGCTTCTTGTCGCTCAGGGTCGTCGGTCGTCCGGAACCAGGCTTTCTTTCGATGCTCTGATTGTTGTCTAATAGTGCCAAGATGTTGTAGATGCCGGAACGGGCGTATCCGTTGTCCACAAAGTGCCGCACGATGTCCGTTTTCGACGCGGCGGGGTGCCGTTCTTTGAACGCGCACACTTCTGAACGGAGTTGCTTCACTGTTTTTGCCAGAGTTGGTTAGAGTTCGACTGATACAGCTGTCAAATTTTGTCTGCTCATGGGTTACTATGATTGATGCTGCATTGGTAGTTTTGTCAGTGCGGGTGAAGGGAAACCCATTAAAAAACGACAATATTTGTCCATTTTTTTAAATGCAAACGTTACTCGGAACTTCCTTGGATATGAAACTACCTA